CTGCGGGCGCGGGGAGGTTCCCGAGGGAGCGGAGTGAATGGCCCCAAGTTCTGTGGACCGAGGTGGGACGCCGAGGTGGCGCTGAAAGTTGGGAATCGAGTAGGAACAGCAGAAGCTGTGGGGGGAGTGGCCGAGAGCGCGGGCTGTGAGCAGATAACCCTCGGGTCTTAGGAAATAATACCTTTAAATGGTTTGTTTTAGAAGCTTAGGAGCGGGGACCTATGAACAAGGGGGTCCCGGTTCGATTCCCGGTCAGGGCACATGCCCGGGTTGCGGGCTCCATCCACAGTCGGGGGCGTGCAGGGGGCAGCCGGTCAGTGGTGCTCATCATTGATGTTTCTTTCTCTCCCCCTCTCTGAAATCAATAAAAAATATATATATTTTAAAAAAGACAGTGGCGTTAAAAAAAATAGCACAGCCATGTCCTGTATAAAAAATACAAAAAGGGGTAGGTAGGCACTCAGTGGCTGTTTGAAAGTGGTAGTTCTTGAACCAGGTGCGCTGCGTAAGGGGGTGGGGGAGGGGGGGCCTCCGCCCAGGGCCCCCAAAAGAGACGGGGTTTGGGAGGAGATGAACAAGCAGAAACTGAAGAAGTTCACCCGCAGGGCAGGAGGAGGTGGCAAATGTGGAAGGACTGGAAGTCGTTGGGGATTAGGAGGCCAGGAGAGCCGTGGAGGTGGGAGTGGGTGAGCGGAGGCAGCGCCCCGTGCCCCCGCAGGGTGAATGCCAGGGAGTTCATTCTCGCTGCCCTCTCGAGTCCTAGGAAAGGACAGGTATGAGCTCTGGCCGGTTTGGCTCAGTGGATAGAGCGTCGGCCTGCGGACTGAAGGGTCCCAGGTTCGATTCCGGTCAAGGGCATGTACCTTGGTTGCGGGCACATCCCCAGTAGGGGGTGTGCAGGAGGCAGCTGATCATTGTTTCTCTCTCATCCATCCATGGTTCTAACTCTCTATCCCTCTCCCTTCCTCTCTGTAAAAAAATCAATAAAATATATTTTTTTTAAAAAGAAAGAGAAGGACAGGTATGAGAAAAATGGGGGACTGGGAGGCACTTGGCGAGTGATAGCTATGATAGGAAACATGCGTGCCACAATAGCTTCACGGTGCCATATCAGCTTCAGGAACAGGTATGATGTCCCAGGACTGAGCGGTTTTTATTTTGCTGGAAAACATCACTTTTTTTTTTTTTTTACCCTATTGACTGGAGTTTGTATTGTGATCTATTTAGAGTTCAATCTTATTGACCCAAGAAGTGCAAGGAGAGCGTTTCAAGAATTCAGTGGAAAAAGATTTAAAAAAAAAAATGTATTTTTTAAAATTGATTTCAGAGAAGAAGGGAGAGGGAGAGAGAGATAGAAACTTCAATGATGAGAGAGAGTCATTGATCGGTTGCCTGCTGCTTGTCGGCTACTGAGGATGGAGCCTGCAACCCCGAGCATGTGCCCTTGACCGGAATCGAACCTGGGGCCGTTCAGTCTGCAGGCCAATGCTCTGTCCACTGAGCCAAACCAGGCAGGGCAGGAAAGCGATTTTTAAAACGTAAATTGTGAGGCAACTCTGCTGTCCTGTGACTTGCTGTCTGGTCCCTATGCTCACACTGGCTTCATCTTTGCTTTCTCTTCCTTGAGTTCCCAGAGTGTTAAAACTGATCTAAATGTAAATCACTCTACCTAAAAACAGCTTCAAAAAACAACACTATTTGTGGTTGGTGAGGAAGAATCTAATTTCATTTGTTGCCTTGGTTTTTATCTTTGGCTGCAGTATATTTTTAAAACATTTCTTGATTTTTTTTTTCTTTTCCTTTTCTGACTCATTGCAAATGTGTGGGGGTAGGTTGCTGAGCTAGTTTGTAAGTTTCCTTGAGCACTTTCAAGCTCAAGTTAAAGCAGCAGTTTTCACCCGGTATGCTGCAAGAATTTTTAAGACATGCAATAACTGACTTTTTCAGTCAGCGGCACTGACCTCTTTTGCCTTAAATTGTCAAGGAAAAAGAATGACAACAGCCAACACAACAATAGCCGTCTGGTTGAATGAATCAAAATTATACCTATTTTTTTGGTCAGATCAGCCAAAAAAATATTTTTGTGTGTGTGCCACAGAATTTTAGTAATTAGTTTATGTGCGGCATGAGGTAAAAAGGGTTGAATATCGCTGAGTTAATACTGGGGAGAAGGGTGGGAGGGAAGGGGTCAACGGGAGGAATAGGGGGAGAATCTGTTAATACTTTCAACAATAAAGATAAATTTAAAAATTTAATACTGGGTACTAAAAGTCTTTAATATTAGGCATCATATAAAATGACATTATAGTTACACAGTTAAAAAGACCATACCGCCCTGCTGGTGTGGCCCAATGGTTGGGCATGGACCTATGAAGCAGGAGGTCACCTTTTGATTCCCCGTCAGGGCACATGCCCGGGTTGTGGGCTGGATTCCCCAGTTGGGGGCATGCAGGAGGCCGCTGATTAATGATTCTCTGTAATCATTGATGTTTCTATCTCTCCCTCTCCCTCTCTGAAATTAATTTAAAAAAAAAAAGACTACACTATATGATATAAAGTGAAAAATGATTTTTGGTTGTAGGATTAGATATTTCAAAGCAGTTAAAAACATCTTATATGAAACATAATCAATTGCAGTTTATTTAAAATATATTTTCACTCAACACATTTTTAAGTTACATAAATATTTGGATCCCTACTGTGGTAGGTGCTGGGATGTAATGGTCAACAGTGAATAATTAAATTCTTACTTATATAGTAATGCTAGTAATGATATTTATAGCAAGCATGTCTGTGTGCCAGGCATTCTGAGTGTTTTACATTTACTTAGGACTCAATACTTTCCCCCCACAAAACACATGTTGTATTCACTGTGTTAAAATTAGACTAATTTTACTTGTATCCCCATGTACTCTATATCTTTTTTTTTTTTTTTGCTTATTCACTTGGATCCTCTTCGTTGTCCCACTTTTTCTCTAAATAAATATTATTTAGGAATCTCATCTTCCAAAAGATGTCTTCTTTGATGCTAGGGGTCAGGGTGTTTATGCTTCCCGAACAAAATGTTAGAGCAAAGAAAGAAGTGACAACCTTGAGTAGAGCAGTATTAACACTTCACTTGGAAGTTGCTATATTCTGTATGGACATTTGCAGACCTCTTTGTATTCCTATTATCTCATGTAAAGATCACTGGACCAGAAATAGCAGGTTGTTTTTGTGGCTATGTTATTTTCATTTTTTTTTCTTTGCAGTGCTAAATAGGTAAAATAGTGAAAGGAAACTTGAATTCTATCCTAGAGCTTTTCTATTAGAATTCATAATCTAGTTAGTTCACTGCTTTGGCCTTTATTACTTACCACTGAGAGATTCTTGGCTTTATCAGTTATTAAGTTAGATCAATATAGAGAAAACAGGTGAGATTTGCATCTAATCAGATTTGTTACATGGTGACAGTTAGAAAATTAGTTTTAAGAACAAGGCTGAAGCCCTAGCCGGCTTGGCTCAGTGGATAGAGCGTCAACCTGCAGACTGAAGGGTCCCAGGTTTGATTCCAGTCAAGGGCATGCACCTTGGTTGCGGTCACATCCCCGGAAGCGGGTGTGCAGGAGGCAGCTGATCGATGTTTCTCTCTCATCGATGTTTCTAACTCTCTATCCCTCTCCCTTTCTCTCTGTAAAAAGTCAATAAAATATATTTTAAAAAATTAAATAAATAAAAAAGAACAAGGTTGAAGAGATTGGCTAAAATGAATACTGTATTTCCCAAGTTGTACTTTTTGTTCCCACAATTTAATGCCACTGTAATTGTCATGTTCTAAAATCAGTGCATATATTTAATATGCTCATGGTTTTCCCCCTTGAAAAACTTATTAAATAATATCTTTAAATGAATGGCATTTTAGAATTAAGAAAATAAAGCAATATAGATCCTTTTAGTATATTGATTTGTATGATCTATCATTACTAATATAGATTCTTGAGAGATGACTGTTAAGATTTGTATGCTTCATAAATTATTTTGGAAACTGCAAAATTTTTGTATAAATTGTACTTTCATAAATAAAAATCCATTTATGTGCACAGAGAACACTTTATTAAAGACCCTAGTAAAGTGATTTATTTTATAAAGATTTTTTTTTGAAAAAAGAAAATTGTAGCTTTTGGTAAAGAACACTTTTTTATGTGAACACTCCCTTCCCAATTTATCTTTATCTTAAATGTGTGCTTTTAGACACTGTCTAATAAAAACACCTACCTTGGTCACAAACACCCATTGGTCACACACATTTGTTAACAACCTCAATATATTTGTTAATTTGATTTCAGAGAGTATCCAATTAAAATTTTTTTAAAAATCTAAAACTATTAATGTGTTTAATATGCATGTATAGCTACTAAATAAACTTTTTGTGTGTTTTTTCCTTGTATGCTTTTAAAATAAAATTTAATAACTTGCATCTGAAGACTTTATTGGCTTTACATAAAACTTTATTCTAGTTGACCACTTCTAACTTTTGCTCTAACTCATATAAGGGGAAAATTAAAAGGGCATCATGAAGGAGGAATATAATATTTATTAGTTGACCCAGATTTGTATGCACAAAATTTCAAAATTCACAGTATGGCTTTTCTAATGTCATTTTCTTATGTATTCATTGGCTTCACTAACGTGGTAACACAAAAAATAGTATAGAAATGGTTAAAAATTAGGCTAGTCAAACTGAATTCACAAAACATACAGTTTTTTTCCTCACTATGACAGTATTTAAAGATATTTTGGCAAACATGAATTTACTTTGACGCTATTTTAAAATACACTTATTTTAGCCTGTCCGATGTGGCTCAGTGGTTGAATGTAGACCCATGAACCAGGAGGTCACAGTTTGATTCCTGGTTGGGCATATGCTCAGATTGCGAGCTCCATTCTGTCGGGGAGCGTGCAGGAGGCAGCCTATCGCTGATTCTCTCTCATTATTGATGTTGCTATCTCTCTCTCTCTCCCTTTCTCTCTGAAATATATATACATTTATGTGTGTATATGTGTGTGTGTGTGTGTTCTTTAAAAAAAGTAAAATACATTTACTTTATTCATTTTCTACAGTAAAGTTAGAGAATAATCCATCTAATCAGCAACAGTAGCTGATTCATTTCTCCTTTTTTGACTCCTCTCTTTAGGCTTATATTTCATAGCCTAAAGTCATCACAAAAAGAAAAGAAAAATCTCTATAAGGAGGAGACAAATTCTATTTTTTTTTTTTTTTAGGAGGAGACAAATTCTTAAACCAGCTTATAAACTTGACAGGACACTCTAACTTCATAAGGGCAAAGCTTACCCCATAAGTTAATTAGTTCTAATGAGGAACAGTATTTACATTGAATATAGTAAATTTCTTTTTAATTTGGGATTTAGTTTACTTGTTTGAAAGAACTTTTTCTGCATTATGCCTTTTTTTGGATTAGATATATAAAAGGTAGATAATCTAATATTGGGGAATTTTCTGAGATTTTCCAAATACAGGGATATTTATAGGTTCAGGCTATTTTCTAATACCTAAGTCTATAAGACTATTGAAGGATAATGATACTACAGCATTGTGAAATTCTGCAGAACTTTCAGGATTATTTAAAAAATGAAGAATAACCCTGGTCCGGTGGCTCTGTTGGTTAGAGCATTGTCCTGATACGCCAGGGTTGTGGGTTTGTTTCCCATTCAGGGTACATATAAGAAAGCAACCAATGAATACATAAGTGGAACAACAATTCCACATTTCTCGCCCTAGAAATCAATCAATAAAAAGTAAAAAATGAGATGCCTGATCGGAATGGCTCAGTGGTTGAGCATCGACTTATGAACCAGGAGGTCACGGTTCGATTCCTGGTCAGGGCACATGCCTGGGTTGTAGGCTCAATTCCCAGTGTGGGGCATGCAGGAGGCAGCCGATCAATGATTCTCTCTCATCATTGATGTTTCTGTCTCTCTCTCCCTCTTCCTTCCTCTCTGAAGTCAATAAAAATACATAATAAAAATAAATAAATAAATAATGAGGTATATTTTTATGGTCAATGTATTTTATTATATTTTGATTAAAATCATTAATCCATGTATTATGCATGTAACTAATAGGTAACTAGAATAATAAGCTAATTTTTTACATAACAGTTTGTTTCCCAATCATGAAAAAAATGTACTTATTTTGGGATATTGTGAAAATACCTTCATCTCCGGAGAAGAACTCATTAGTTTATCAATAAGACTCTGAAAGCACATGTTGAAGGTGGAACCGATATTGTCTTTTTTGTTTGTAGGAAAGACAGTTTTGTGATGAGTGCTAAAATAATTATGAAAAAAGTTATCTTTGATATTAATAGGTCTTTGTGTGACTTTTACCTTAGTATAATAAAAGTTAATCATTTGGGATACAGACAGAATGATTTGATACACATTGCAATAACTTTTCAAATATTTTAAGGACCATCTATAGAACTGCGCCAAAGAAAAAAGCCAAAATCTTCAGAAAATAAAGAATCTGCCAAAGAAGAGAAAATTGATGACACTCCAGTTCCTGAAAGAGCTCCAAAACGTAAGTTAGATAGATTTGGAGTTTTTGTGCTACTGCAAAAATACAGTTATGCTAGGTAGTATATTTTATATTAATACTTTAAATGTAGATACATATTTTGTGTTTAAGATGTGGTGGTACCAGACAACTTCCATTAGGTTTTGCTATAGAACCACCTCTAAATTTCACTTATTTATAACACACTTTAATACCATTCTAAAGTCAGGAAATTTAAAGTAGAAACACTGTAAGTTGGGGAGTTGTCTGTATAAGATTTGGTTGAATATATTTTTTTCTAATAGCATTTGATAATTAGGATTAGCTTGCTATTGTGTAAGACTTAATGAAACACACACACACAGGAAAAGATCCATGTTTAGAAACTTTGAAGAACTTTTGCCAAACTGCTGCCATAAATAAGTTTTCTTATTTTGTTTTTACTGAGCTCTTACTATCTGCCAGGCCAGATGCTTTACACATGCTATTGGAAACAGTAATTTTAAAATAATTTTATCATACAGATACTATTTGATTTACTGAGTAGGGTTTTTCAAGCATTTTGATTATAATTCATATTAATTTAGTGATATCTAAGTAGGCTTTAATGTCTCTAATATGCTGTGCAAACTAACATTTATGAAATAATATAATAAAAATAGCTAAGATTTTAGTTTATCTAAACAAATAAATCAACAAGTTGATTTTTATAAACTTCCAGTCATTCAGTAGCAGAACACTAGGCTTTGGGCCTTTAGACCCATGCTTATATTTAATCTTAATAGTTATAGCAGGACTAAATCATCCTGTGTGTAGAAAATCCAAGTATGTTTTATGTTAGTTCATCAAGAAATTGTTACATATACATAACAGTTGTATATGAAGTTTTAAATACATAATCATCAAAAGTCATTGAATTGTACATTTTATTTTATTTTTGTATATATATTTTTTTTTTTTCATTGATTTTTAGAGAGAGTGGAAGAGAGAGGGAAAGGCAGAGAAAGATCGATGTCATAGAAACACATTGATTGGTTGCCTCCTGCACGAGCCCTGACCAGGGCCCTGGGCCAGGAAAGAGCCTGCAACCGAGACACTTGACCTTCACCGGAATCGAATCCAGGACCCTTTGGTCTGCAGGACATCACTTTATCCACTGAGCCAAAGCAGCTAGGGCTATTTTATTTATTTTATGTTTTTATTGATTTCAAAGAGGAAAAAAGAGTGAGAGAAAGATAGAAACATCAAAGATGAGAGAGAATCATTGATCGGCTGCCTCCTGCTTGCCCCATACCAGGGATCGAGCCTGCAACCCGGGCATGTTCCCTGACCAGGAATTGAACCATGACCTCCTGGTTCATAGGTTGATGCTCAACCACTGAGCCACGCTGGCTGGACAAATTGTACATTTTAAATAGCTGTAGTTTATAGTAAACTGTTCCTCAATAAAGAAAAAGATTCCTGGATAAGAAAAAAATATCAGAAGTAATTCTGATTGAACCTATTTTTTCTTTAGATATTTGGTATTATAGTACATTCTACTTATTCCTTTTTAAAATGAATAGATTTTTTAAAAATATGTTTCATTTATAGAAGAAATGAGCAGATAGTACAGAATTCCCAAGTTACCATCCCCCCCCCCCCCCGCGGGGCTTTTTTTTTTCT